ATTATATATTAAATAAAAAATTTAAATTATAAATTATAAATTACAAATTTAATTTAATTAAAAATAATAAATTATAAATTATGGCCTTATAAATTAAATTTTTTGTGTTGTTAAAAAATTAAATTTATATATTAAATAAAATTATTTTTTTAGTGTTCTTAATTTAAAATTATAGATTAAATAAAAAATTATAAATTTAATTTAATTAAAAATATGGCCTTATAAATTAAAAAAAAATTAGTGTTGTTAAATTATAAATTATAGATTACAAATTTAAAATTATCTATTAAATAAAAAAAATAAATTTTAAATTACGAGGGTAAAATAGTCTTTTGAACATTTATTCTTATTCAGTCCATCCAAGCAAACATTGGATTAACTAAGCCTTGGTTTGGTAAACATATTGGGACTAAAGCACATGAAAAAAAAAAAAAAAAAAAGCCACAAAATCACAAAATGACAAAATACTTAACTTTTGATGCAAAATTACCAAATTGACCCATATATAAACAAAAAGTCAAAAAAGAATCATTTCAAGTGGAGGGCAATTTTGTCATTCCAATGCAAAAAAGTTAAAAAAACCAAACAAGAAAACCAAACAAACAAAAAAGTTTCAGGCTAAAAAAATCAAAAAGTCAAGTTTGCCAAACGGCACCTAATTACTTTATCATTATATAACTTATTTTAAAACTTATATCCATGACTTTTTAGTATTATTATTTATTGTTCATGATATATACTAGTTACAAATAATATATATCTATATATATATTATCTTTCTTGAAGTCAATCGTAAAAATTTATGTGAAATATTTTTGTAAAAATTTTTAATATTATAATTAATAAATGCCCCCTCTGATTTAATTTCTTAACTTTGCCACTAATCTCGCGGCCACTTTCGCTTCATTTTTTTAACAGTGAGTGACAAAAGAGCTACACTAGAACAACAGTCAAATCCTATTGACTTAGTTACAATTAGAAGATTAGAGGCCAAAGCAAAATTTGAACGAAAATTATTAGAAGGTGAAAAGTATAATTTACCCAAAAAAAAAATATATAAATAGCTCCAATAAACTGCACCAAACTAGTTTTAAGAACTAATTAATCCTATATTTATATGACAGGATTTCCCAAGGGAGAGAGAGAGAGAGAGAGAGAGAGAGAGAGAGAGAGAGAGAGAGAGGGGCACATACCCAGTTTCAAGAGTGAAAGGAAGTTCACCATCAAAGCCTGGTAAGGTCTTGACAATTTGGCAAGAAGACACTACATGTGGAAAGAAAAAGAGCACTAGGAGGAAGAGGAGCAAATGTAAGGTTATAAGATCTATATACTAGAAATCAAAACACTATGAATATAATTAACTATTAAAATATAAACTTAGATACATACCGTTTGATTCCGTTATTGTCTTGAGTTTTGCTTCTTTGAAAGATGATGGTATTCACAATTGGAAAACCTTAGCACCAGCTCTTCCCCTACTTCTCCTAATCTTCACGTTGTCTTTCAATGGGGCTGACAACCCTTTGATCTACATATATATAGATATATGTAAACCCTAATAAGGATAGGAGAGGGGACTGGGCCTAAATAAAACAATTACTGGGCCCTCCCATTAAGGAACCCAAATAACTGAAAACAGGCCTTACACCTCCATATCACATATCCACATATAAAATAATATATACACTAAGATGACCATGGCCCAAACTTTATGGATCACAATAATAATTTTGGTCTCACACCAGTCAATCTATCTGAATCATGTTCAACCCGTTTTTCACAAACCAAACAAAATATAGTCAATGACAGCCTAATTAAGAATAAATTCTTACATTCTCCCACTTAGACAACATTGACTACTACTTTAAGAAAATATTTTATTTAAGAAAAAATGACTCTCAGGTTAAACAACTTTAGTGGCCACAAAAACATGATTCAGAATAGAAACATCTCAGCACAGAATCCCGTTCAATGAGAAATATTAATATCGAACTGTAACGGTAATTATGCTATTGAACAACATAACACCTTCCACAATTACAAACACTAATATCTCACCAACATGGATTCTTATATGTGATACAGTGTAGTGTGGAATTTCAGCATAATTGATCCAAAAATTATATAACATGTTAATTCCACATTCAGTCCTCTGTATGGTCTTGACAAGACCTTGCAAGGAATTTTATTCCATTTTACACTTCCAAAAGAAGTCTTTATTCCTCTAAACCGAGGTCTTTCATTCTTTAAACCAAGCATCATACTTTATGGATCCATATACACTTCTAAACCGAAGCATTATACACTTCTAAATTAAAGTGTCAATCTTTATATCTCAAAATTTAAATATAACTGTAAGAGCTCATATAAGACGGATACATACATAACAGTTACCATTTATGTGTACACACATCACTATAAACAAAATGTGAATAAACACATTAAACTTTATTAACTGAAATACACCATAGATAATATTCATGGGTAAAAAATTTCTTTAACCAAGAACATAAAAACCGTAAAGTACCCATATGCTCAATATATTTAGCAAACTAAAATTTGGCCTAAGCCCTATATTTAGAGGATCAACTAGTATGTATTCTATAACATATGCTCATAAAGAATATCATCTTTAACACTCTCTAATTTTGAAGTACTTCAAAATTATGTATTTAACACCATCAGAGTTTTTTGTTATTCTTCATAGAGAAAATTAAAAAAAAAACCATATATCATAATACATCTTTATAGGTTTGGAGATGAAATTAACAATTCCAAGCCCAGAAATAAAATTCTTTAATTACATAACTCAAGTCGAACTCTAAAACATGTTTGCATAGTGAAAAATTATAAGAGATTTTATGAAATTCTTTCATGAAACAACATCTCATGCAAACATAAAAATATAACCAATAATAGATACTATATCATTTGAGCAACTACCAAAGTTGACATAGTACAACCAATAATATTAACATGATTAATTCTTTTATAGACAATCGTATAATCTTTAATTCTCTATAAATATCATAACACTTTATATGTTCCAACCCAATAGTCAAGGCTTAAATTAAAATAATAATTGTCTAACAAACTAATTACATATGCACCAAGTTTAATCCAAACTTCATAACAGGGCCTCCACCGTACCATAGCAAAAGAGGGTCTTCTTTTGGATTCCCTTCCAACTCTATGAAATAGTAAAACAGTTGTGATTCTTCGACTGTAATGTACCTGTAAAGCAGAGCAACAGTTGTGATTCTTCCAACTCATGAACTTTTTCTCAAAATCATTTTATGAATACTGAATGTTAATTAGTCTCGATCATTAAGAAGAGCAATGTAAAACTTTCAATTCTGCATATTAAATTCAGTAAAAATGTGCTCTAGGTATGCTCTTTGAGATGAGACAAATAATCCTCTAAGTTATTTTTCAAGTATCTTAATGCCAAACACATAAAATGCTTTATCAAGATATTTCATATCAAAAATTTATTAACAACAATATCTTCACATCAAGTATTAATTCGAAATTATTACTAGTAAGTAAAATTTCATCGGTATAAAGGATCAAGAAAAATAAATTGCTCCCACTGACCTTGAGATATATGCATAAATTAACATTATTATCCATAAAGCCAAGTAATAATATTTGGTGAACCTTTAAATATCATTGCTCAAAAATTTGTTTAAAACCATGGATAAATTTGTTTCACTTACAAATCAAATTTATTTTGTTTGGCGAAGCAATAGATAAAAAAAAGTCACAATGCCACTATAATCATTATAAACCTATCTTTATGACAATGGTAAAGACAATACCCTTTTCAAATCACAACCTCTTGCAATAGCATTGTATTTATTTATTTATCTTTAAAAAATACTCATTAGATTTCAAACTTTTAAAAAAGTATAACATGATCTCATATTTATTTAATAATTTGTACTAATTCATTTACCATATTACAAATCGCCAATATCTTCATCATAGGTAACAATCATCTCTTCAATCCCTTGATATTGCTCATTTAGAAAAATAATATGATCACAAGGATCTTGAACTGTATGAGAATGTCTAGGAGTTGTACGTGTTATGCATGTTCAAGTTATATCAACATATTGAATAGATACTTAAGGTTCTACCTGCACTCTCACTTTCTCTATGTGAGAATGAACGGACCAATTCATTATAATAGGCACAAGTATACAAGAAGATTTATATATTTAAACTGTTCACCAATCTAATAACTTTACATTTTAAAAGCTTAAAAGATTCTTATGTCAGAATCAAAATAATAGAACCATTGACAACTTACAAAAGTAACAACAAATAGCAATAAGTCCCATTTTAATTTCAAAAGCACAACAAATTTTTACTTTTCTACTAGTTCACAATTCAAAAGTGTTTTTAAAATATTTTTAACTTGGTACCATATGTAAAGTATACACAAGTATACATAGCAATTACAAATATTTTATCACAAAAACTTGTATAATTTAAACATGTTAACCTACACCTCATCATTTTATTAGAGTCCAATTATACGATTCTCAAGTACTCAACTTTATTCCGAAGTTGCAAGCATGATATATTTATATTGATTCCACAATTTTGTAAAAATTAATAAGAAGTTACTACATTAACCAAAATTATCATGTTCACTTTAATATACATCTTCAATTAATAATTTTAAAAACTTCATCAATATGTTTTTCAACATAAATGAGATAGACAAATGCATAACATCAATACTCATTTATAAAATTAATAGAATAATTGCTCCAACGCACTTTATGATAATTATCATCCAAGTCAAAATAAAATCTATTTCAATTATTATTATTATTTTATTTATTACCAAAATTAAAAATAATAACAATGCTTATTTTGTTGACATTAAAATTGAATTTTATCTCATGGATGATATAAAAATAACATTCTTTAAAATAAGATTACTACTAGACTTTAACTTAAATAACTTGATCAGAAAATAAAATTTTGATTAACACAAGCATTTTTTTAAGTAGTTTAAAAAACAAATAAGGAGATTCCGAAGTGGGAAGAGCATCATAGCTCACAAAAATTCTAAAGAATTTTTCTTACTTGAGTTAATAATATATAAAGAGATTTGCGGAATATTCTGAAAAGGAAAACATAAAACACTGAAGAGAGATAACGATTTGTAAAAGTCGAAGGTATTATATAGAGCACTGTAGAGTATAATTTAGATTTTCTTATAAGAATCACCTAGTGAATATTTTAAAACTCTACTTTCTTAAATAGTTAACATTGAATATAATTTCAATCTTTCACACTATATTGAGGTCTTAATATAAATGGTTAAGAAGACACATTCTCGAGTATGTCAATATCTAAATCAGTTAATCTTAAAGCTAACTCAATATCTTTTAACCGATTCATAATCAAAACTTTAATGGAGTAAATTTGATTTTCATAAAAATATCTTTCTTCATTGCTTTCAATTTAATATAATATCATTCAATTATATATGGACAATAATAATCTCATAATCACAATTAATATTCTCAAATATTTAAAATGTATCACTCTTAAACTGAATATATAGAAAGCATGTTCACAACTCCAACTTTCAATTATACATAGGCAATTAGTATAATCTCACAAGAATATGCTGCGAATAAACTTTAGCAATATTCTTAGATGTGCCAGAATGTATCACTATATAAACACCTTTGGGTTGAATATATAGAATACAATCAACATATTTAAACTTCAATATAATCTTAATTAATTATACATTGGGCAATGATTATAATCTCACAACAATGGGCTGCAAATAAACTTTAACAATATTGTCACATGTTTCAGAATGTATCATCATATAAATACCTTTGGGCTAAATATATAAGACACATTCTAACACCTATAAACAAGTCAACTAGGAAGAATGATTTATCAAAAATTATCTCCTTTGGGTAGATAAATTTTTTAAAATCAATAAAATTTCCAATACTAGCGACTCACACTACCTCGAAAATTAATATACACAATTAACCCCCTTTGGGTAGGTAATTGAGTGATATAATATTAGAAGAGCTTCCCAGAATCCTTATTAGTAAATCACTTTAAATCTCAATAAGTTAACCACTTTGGCAGTATCACCCACATTGATTCAAAAATCTTCCAACTAGGACTATATCAAATAATAAATATTTGTTTATTTTTAAAACTTTATTTAACAAATATGAGAGTACATATGATTGTCAAGTTTTGTTGTTGCATACTAGCAAATCAAGACTTTGATTAGGTACTAATTGCCGTATAATAATAAATGAGAATTAACATAAAATTGAATTACTGCATTACATTATCATGTAAATTAAAATATGATTACCAACAATTAAACAACCATTTAATTCTATCAACCAATAACATATGTCCGATTAAATAAATATTACCCCATCAATTTGTTTACAGTTCAAACTTGGGACATAACATAACTATAATATTATATAGCATCACAACTTCTATCAAATATGGACAACCAAACAGGGTCTTGTTCACATCTAGTTATATATATATATATATAAACTAGAGTAAACCACCAAACCGAAGTATTGTAAAAAAAAAGGAGCTATAGCGAACCACTAAACACGCAGACCAAGTCGTGGGTGGGTTGGGTTAAAGAAAAAATTACTTATTTATTTAAATATTTATTTATTTATTTGTTTTTCTTTAATGTTATGATTCCGAAGCAATTCTCAACCATGAATAGTATATATATGTAAGAACATTGAAAAGGTTTGGTCGTCCATTACCAGGCACAACGTTTCAGTAACAAAAAATAAAAATAAAAATAATTAATTTATTCCTTCTCATTGTATAAAAAAAATTTACTGAAATAATCTGTCATGATTTTGATTCTAGTATAAACTTGCTCTGATACCACATGTAAGATTATAGGATCTATATACTAGAAATCAAAACACTATGAATATAATTAACTATTAAAATATAAACTTAGATACATACCGTTTGATTCCGTTATTGTCTTGAGTTTTGCTTCTTTGAAAGATGATGATATTCACAATTAGAAAACCTTAGCACTAAAGAAGAGAACAAAAGGTTTGAAAGAGCTCTAGCGATGTACGACGAGAAAACTCCTGACCGGTGGCTAAAAGTGACGGCCATGATTCCTGGGAAGTCAGTCTATGATGTGATGAGGTGGTACAAGGAACTGGAAGCAGATGTTAGTAACATAGAAGCCGGTCGGGTTCCATTTCCGGGGTACGTCACTTCCTCTGTCACATTGGAGATGGTGGATAATCACGGGTTTGATGGGTTTAGAAAGAGGCCGTTGACAGGTCGATCCTCAGATCAGCAGAGGAAGAAAGGGGTACCTTGGACAGAAGATGAGCACAGGCGGTTTCTGATGGGGCTGCAAAAGCATGGTAAGGGAGACTGGAGAAATATATCGAGGAATTTTGTGAAGTCTAAGACACCAACTCAAGTGGCAAGCCATGCTCAGATGTGGAGAGGTCCGGCGGACGGCCAAAGCGAGACTGCCGCCCGCCGGTGAAGCAGAATGGTTAAGTTGTTAACCTTGCTCTGATACCATGTAAGAATTTATGTATTTATTGATTGATGAGTTTATGATTGATGTATTACAAGATTGATGTATTACAATTCCTATACAATCTATATATAGAAGAAAATGTGGTAGTAGGTGTAGTGGAGGTGATAGTGGGTTAGGTGAAGTGGAGTGTGTGGTGAAGTGGAGGTAGGTGAAGTGGAGTGTGTAGTGGAGTAGGTGAAGGTAAAGATGAGAAATTCTAACATATTGCTTCTCTGCCATTATTTCCAAACAGAAATTTGCTTTGTTGGGACATATATACCATTGCAATGCAATGGTGAGTCTACTAGGGGACATATTTTTTAAAATATTTTTGTTGGGACATATATGATGCACCTTACATATATACCATCCCATGGTTTCTATCTTTGTTGGGACATATTTTATCTTTGTACACACCTTATTTAGTGTAAATGTTGTCACTTTTTTTTTTCTTTCTAATAATACTCTTCATGCCACATTTAATAATAGTTAAACAATTTTTCTCATTTATGGAACAGTCCAAAACTACTAAACAATTTTCTTCATTCATTAAACAAGTCAAAAAATTTTAAATACAAAATAACGAACACATCACCTTTATACTCACAACTAATATATATAATTCATCCAACAAAATTGAGAAATGATTGTTATGCCCTAGTTGCTCTGCATTACCAATTCTATCCCTATATATATATATATAATTCATTGAACTTTCCATCCCATATTATATTACCATAATTGTGGTCCTGCAACTAAAATACCTAGCATTTAACTATTTTCTCAAAACTATTTTTTCCCCCCTCAGCGTGGCATGCATGCAAAGATAGCATACGATATCACTATATAATTATTATCAGGAAAATGTGGCGCGAGTAAAAGGAATTGTATCTCCACCATCCAAGAAATGCGAGCTTAAATGAATTAGTCATTAAGTGTAAGATGAGTAGCCAGTATGAGCAGTGTTTTGCTCTCTATCCAATTGTTGGAAGTGGATGGAGCAAAATTCCATACACTATAATAGTGTGCATAAGTATCACTTGAAGTTAAAAGATTAGCGCTTAGTAGCAGAAAAATCTATTAACACTAAGTGAAGAGATTAGCGGCAAGTGACTGCAAAATCTATTAGCATTGCCAACTTGTCTAAATCTGGACACTTACTGTTTCTACACTTGAGTGTGAGACATGAGAAGGTGCTTCTTTGTATGGTTCCTTAGCGAGGCTAATGTTTTTGAATAACGTTTACCACTAAGCACAAACGTTGCAGCATAGTAATGAAAAGGTCAAGACCGACAAGGTTGTTATGACTCTAAGAATTTGACGCATCGCTTGTGAGAGCGTTGTGTTGAATAAGACTCTTTAGCCTAATTCGCGCTTAAGTTACTTCAGGAGCTGTCATTGATTGATAGCTTATTCTCTCCTTCTTGTAGATAGTAGAATTAATTGCAAGTAACTATGAAGTGAGAAATAGAAATGGCAAGAGGAGTATCGTCATATTTCAACTAGATGCATTAAAGTGTATGGAGAATAAAATTGACTTGAAGGTGCAGGGGATTAGCACTTACTAGTTAAATTTGCGACTTAGGTGCACTTGATATCTCCATGACATCCTTTTATGATCTAGTGAATATGAATTAGTTGTCGAGTCATTACCTAGTTGGGCCTAAACCTTTAAAACTTGTCTTCGAGAGCTCACACTTTAGGATAATTGGAATTAGTTTATGACGTTAGTCATGAACCGGTGGCTTATTATACTTAATCACATTAATGAGATGATGACAGGATGGCTTGAGTAGGCCCTCTCGGGCCCACTCGCTTGTGACATCCGGCTCTCATGTGAATGTATAACTTTGTTCGCAATGGTTGCGCACAAGTAAGTAGGAAAGCCGTAGAAGGTCATTTGTATTGGCGCATTTAGTCCACTATGATTTTTGTGACTGGATATGTGTAAGGGTATGATAGCTAGCCCCAAATCTCAACACATTTATAGATTATGATACGCATCTTAGTCAAGACTATTTGATCTCCCATAAGTCAAAAAGTTCTGAATTTTTTTTTTTTTTTTTTTTTGACATTGCACATATGAGATTGAGATCAATTAGATAAGAGCTTTTGTGTTTTTAGTTTTGACCAAGGTGGCGCGTATCTATTTGAGTTATTTTTTAGAAAGCTTTGTGAAGAGAAATAGATGCTTAGAAAATTGATTTTTCCTAGTACTCAACAACACAATGGTGTAGTAGAGATAAGGAATCAAGTATTGTTAATGTTAGGTGGATGATAGCGCAAAAATGTTTCCCAATTGGGAATTGCACTTTAGTTTGTTGCCTATATCCCTGACTAAGTGCCTTCCATATCAGATTTTACACTCCATTTGAGTAATGGGTTAGCGGAGAGCCATCTATTGGCGATCTGTAACTGTTAAGCAGCTTATCTATATTTTATTTCTCATAAGGTTGCGAAGTTAAGGCCTAGGGTTCTATAGCGCATTATTGTATGCTGTCTTGTAAACACATAGGGTCATGTGGCGCATTATTGTATGCTGTCATGTAAACCCTCCGGGACATATGCATAAAGTTAAGCAGCTTTGTGGAAGTGTAAATAGTCACATAAAGTTTTCTTAGTAAAGGTGACGTGAATAGAGTTTTGGAACTCTATAAGATAGAGAATTCTAAGCATAGCGCTCTATGTAGCCTAGTTGAGAATGGAAAGAAATTTTCAATATGCTAGGGACAGTGGGAGCGATGTACCTACTAATGGATTACTCCACTAGAGAAGAATACTCTACATTCTTAGTTGTGTGGTAGCGAATGTGAAATTTTTTCACGTCATCACTAAGTGATTGAGAAGGAAACATTCATGATTGCTCCGCAAGATGATAAAGAGCCTAAGATAATGCCAAAGGCTCTAGTCCTCTGATTTTAGAAAGTGGATCAATGTTGCGCGGTTTAAGACAAAGTCTTTGAGGATTAACCGCATAGCGCTCTATGTAGCCTAGTTGAGAATGGAAAGAAATTTTCAATATGCTAGGGACAGTGGGAGCGATGTACCTACTAATGGATTACTCCACTAGAGAAGAATACTCTACATTCTTAGTTGCGTGGTAGCGAATGTTAAATTTTTTCACGTCATCACTAAGTGATTGAGAAGGAAACATTCATGATTGCTCCGCAAGATGATAAAGAGCCTAGGATAATGCCAAAGGCTCTAGTCCTCTGTTTTTAGAAAATGGATCAATGTTGCGCGGTTTAAGACAAAGTCTTTGAGGATTAACCATTTCTATAATTTAGTTGACTTTCCATTAAGACGCAAAACTGTTCTAAAGTTATGCGCATTTTGGATAGTCATTGTTGAGGCATAAGGCTTGCTAGATACCGAAAAGTCGCACCATTGAGAAAAGTGTAGATCATGAGAAGACTTCCTCCTGAAGAGTGAGGTTATTTTGACTTAGGCTATGATTGGCATAAGTTCGGAACATTGATTTGTGGACATTGTGACCCAACTTCTCGTTGGAGAATTGGATAAGTAGATCCGTAGGGATTAACCTTCTGCTTTTATGTGAAAAGTTAGGAGTGCAAAAAGGTTGCTAGTTCCGATAAATCTTTTACAGCCTAAAACAGTTATCCCAATAGTTAGATTTCGTCGAGCCATGATAGGCCAACGATGATCGATGAAGACCACTGAGGCATGATCAATGGTCCAAAAGAAGTTTCACCTTACTTAGTCATTATGGGCCAAGAATTTATAACGTTGTCGCCACCTAGGGTGGGCAGTCCTCTGTTTTAGATATGATGGACATGGGTGATGTAATTTATATACTCGGATGTACGATCCTTAGGAATTGTTTTGGGAGAATTCCCAGTTTCTCTTTATGGCGATCCCAGGTTTACCCTTGTTGTATAGTGAGCCGGACATGTGTCCGTGGATGTTGGTAGTTGTTTATTATCTTGTTTACATCCACCTATCGGTAAAAGCCAGAGCCTTAGCTATTGATTGAATCCTCGGATTGTCTTTGGGAGAAACAAATGACCTATATTCCTTGATTTTTTTTGTTGTTGTGGGAGCCTAAGGTACGCTATGTGGGCATATTCGGCATGATATATGTAAATGCTTGTTTTTTTTTGAGGGCGTTACACTCTTTGATGACTTACATAAGGAATATCCTAGAATGAATCTAGATGAAAAAAAAAAAAAATGCAAACTCATTGACTTACCTATCGGTAAAAGCCAGAGCCTTAGCTATTGATTGAATCCTCGGATTGTCTTTGGGAGAAACAAATAACCTATATTCCTTGATTTTTTTTGTTGTTGTGGGAGCCTAAAGTAGCTATGTGGGCATATTCGGCATGACAAGTGTTATCTTTGGTAAGTGGTTAACTGAGTAGTTTAGACATTGACCTTGCTCATTAGACTGTGGATAGAATGCTTTACTAGTAGTATATAAATTTGCCCCTTGTAAGATTCAATACGCTAGTTGGGCACATCCAAAATGAACGCAAATTGGCCACCAAAATATCTTTAAAGAGGTTATTGCGCAAGAGGTAATGATCTTGAATCACTTCATGTGAGGCGCACATGGTGGATTCCATTGTATATACTTATCGCAAGAGTTGTTGATAAGGCTTACGTTTGGAATCTAGAATTGCGCAAGCTGTGGTCATGTTTTTTTTTTAAATCGATAACTTATTTGTTGTGAGATGATGTGATGTTGACACTTTATGGTTTGTGTCATAATGATTAGCATATGATGACGTCAGCAGGCAAGATTGGCTCAATCACACGAGTAATCACCCTTGGCGCTTGGGAGCGAGCAAGAATGAGGCTAGTGGTTTATTTTTATTTGAAGCCAAGAGAGGCTTAAATTATCCACTATGTATGTCGCCTTGGTTACAACCAAGATAAGGTCGTGATAAGGACCAAACATGGATGTTAGTACCCACTTTCCATGTTGTGCCTATTATGATTAGCTAGATGCGAGATCTCATTTGGCGCTTGAAAAGCGAGCAAAGAGAGAATTCAGGTTAGGCGCTAGAAAGTGACTAGACTAAT